AGTTCAGCGGGTGGTGACTGCGACCAGGACCATGACTGCAAGCTGGGCCGTGCAGAGGGAGGAGTCTGGAGTGGCTGCTGCCGAAATATTGAGAACGCACGGAACAGAACCCACAGCTGTCCCTGCCTGCCCAGGAAAGGGAATCATTTGTTTCTCTTCTGCCTAGTGTTTTACCGTGAAATTAAAAATTGAGCTTGTCCTCACACTTTAGGGTACCTAAGAATCAGATGAAAGCTTGCTAAAATGCAGATTCCTGGGCCCCCACGAGCATCAGATTCAAGAGGCCTGGGCAGGCCTTGGAACCTGCATTTTATATGCTTCCTCCTGGTGAGTTTTATTCAGGTGCTCCGTGGACTGCACTTACACAGGAGAGGGGTCACAGCAACCACGTTTTCAAGATGACGTTACATAGTTGAATGTTTTAACTGTCTCCTCCCAGAGCTGTGAGTGTAAGAAAATATAAGGGAATCCAAGGTAATAATTATATTTCAACCAGAGCTCTGTTGTGATCTGATTGACTTGCAAAATACCCAAATTAGACAGTTTTATAAAAATGTTAATAATGTAAAGAAAACATATTTTGAAGACATTTTGAAAATACTGATGCTAATAAGCTGCTCTGTTTGACGACGTGTGAGTACAATACAAAGTTCTTTCATGGAGGGAGAGAAAACTGCCTGACTCTATCAAAGGCATCCAATAATATTTTAAGCAGAATTTTGGAATGCGTTACATGCATGTCACAAACACTTCCATATGAATTTCTGAATGCAAAACAAACTTATTCCTGCTTTGACAGCTTGAGATATCGTGTGCATGGCGTGGTGACATCTGCCTTCAGTATATCTCTATGCATTTTGTACAAACCTAGTATTTGAAAAATGACAGCTGTCTCCCAGGTCCCGGGTAAACACATAAATCTCCTGGGTTTGTGCGAATGATTTTTAAGTAGGTCAAGTGCCCTGAGTCCCTCGACACAGTCATCACCTTTTCTGTCTTTAATTTCTCAGCTCATCTACCACATGGAAAACGTGATAATTAGGAATATATAAAGGTGTCGTGCAAAATGCCTCGGAGAGCTGTAATCTGATTTTCTTTTTTTTTGTAATCTGATTTTCTAAAGTGATTTTTAATGCATAATTATATTCTTACGAATTCACTGGCTACACAAAGAATCCACCTCCATACGCACCTCTATAAACACACGCAGGGCTGCATTTGTATATCTCCATGTTACAAGTTGTTACGCTGAACCATCAGTGTGGATTTTCTATAAATTCTTCATTCTGTGTATGTTGGTTCTAACCAAGCTCAGAGTCAAAAATGAAAGTGACTCAATTCTCTAGATCTCTTCTCTCCTAGATAAGGACGACTCTGTGAGCCCAAGTTGCCGGGCAACCACCCCACCCCTCCTCCTGCCTTGGGCTGGGCTCAGATGTCAGGGCGACCGTCCCACTGTCCGGAGAGAATTTGCGACACCAGGCAGCTCACCTGAGGCTGCAGACTTTCATCAAGTGTCCCCACATCTGCTTTTCTCACCTAAGTGGGGCCATCTACACCTCGGGTGTGAACTGATTTTGCACTTTAAGTGCAGAAAGATATGTGGGTGTGTGAAAAATAGAGCAGGCACTTGTTAAAGCGTGAGCTTCAGCTGCGCTAAACACACATTATATTTTCCCCACAAAGCTCGTATTTGTTTGATAGAGAAAGAGTACTACGAAGTACATACAAAGCTCTTCAGGCCCTAGTCCCTGCCCTCTCTGCCCCCAAAGGCATCGCCCCGTGGTGTTCATTCAATCCATCGTTCACCCAAGACTTTACTGAGCGTGAGTTTGCATTTATTGAGTGAGATGCACTGTGGCATCTTCCTTGGCCAGGTCAGCGTGCGGCGCGCTCGGAGCAAACCCACAGCCGTGACACAGAGAGATTCAGGTAATGCTTGCAGTTGGGCGAGGGCTGCGGGGACACGAAGGAAGGGCCTTTCGCCAGATAGGGCATCCGAGGAGACTCCGGAGGAGTCTGGTTTTCAGAGCTAAATCCGGGAGGAGTCAGAAATCAAGGTGCTTATGTGCAGGCAGCAGAAAGTGCCGAGGGCTGATTCTTCACAAAAGGGGCTTGTTAAAGGAGACTTGGGTAACTCACCACAGGGTGGGTAGGGCCGAAACCCACACCAAGCACTAAGCTTCCAGGAACGGCGTCCAAAACAGGCCTGGTGAGGAACGTGCCACTGCCGGGGGCCCTCCGAGCACCAGGGCAAACTGCCATGGCCACGTGTCCCCCACAGACGCTCGGCTGGGCCAGGAGCTCACCCAAGGGACCACTGCTGCCCTGACAGCCGGACGCTTCCGCTCAGTGCCTCCTCTCCTGCAGCCAGAGCGCCTCGGCGGGAGGCTGGTGCAGGTGAAGGCCCCAGGACCTTCCAGACTAGCGGGTGTTTCTGAGATGCTGAGCACCTGGAAGACGCGATGAGGGCAGGACAGCCGCAGGCAGTCGCCTCGTCTCCTCTGTGCAATAAGCCAAGTCGCCGAAGGTGTCATCAGCCTGCCTTTTTCCTTGCCGAGCGAGGCATAAAAATGCAGAAACAACTACTACCACCACTGCAATCTACCACCATCACTGGTCACCAGGATAAAGGGCCTTTTAACACGAAAAAGGAGTGAAGGGCGTGATCTCAGGGTCAGGAACATTATTTGGTTTGCACCGATGTGGCTTGATGAAGAGCCTCAGGGCGCTGTCCTTTCTTCGCCCACTTTGCGTGTGCGGGTGGGAGCCTCCTGGGGCCGGCAGTGATGTGTGCTGGCGCAGGGGAGCCGTCCACTCGCCCGCTCAAACGAGGGGGCCGCTGGCGGTGGGGGCCAGGCAGGAGGCGGGCGCGAGTTTCCACTTTTGAAGGACTTTTCGGGCAGCCGTGGGAGGGTAAGCTGAGGGGAGAGGGGGCAGTGGCCGGGCAGAGGGAAGAGACGAAAGGTGGCTGGGGGAGAAGCCTACTGGCCAGTACGACGGGTGGGTGTGGCAGGGGAAAGGGCACCCGGATGCTGCCCAGGTTTCTGCCGCGTTCCCCTCTCTTCTTCCCAGGGCCTTCTCTGGCGGCCTCTGCACTCGGGTCGGCGAGCTCTCAGTTCCGCCTCGGATCCTTCCACCCCTCCCCCGTCCATGTCTTACTCAGCCCTCCCCCACCGTTTCCATACTCTGAGACCACCAGCCCAGCCTGGCCTGCGTGGCTGCCCCACTCCTGCCCACACAACGCCAGACTAAGCTGATCCTCCCTGGTCCCCTACACCCCGCCCTGTCCTCCTCATCCCGGGCCTCTCCCTGACAGTGTGTGAACTCTGGGGACCTGCATCTGGGCGTCCGACCATTGGCCCACCTTCCCACCTGTCCCAGTCCGTCTGTGCTGCTGTAACAAACAACCCGAGACTGGGTAGTTCAAAAACAGCAGGACTGATCTCTCAGGCTGGAGGCTGGGAGCCGTGTCCTGGAGGGCCTGGTCTCGGGTTTCCGCACCTGAGGTGGTCCTGTGTTGCTGCGTCCTCCAAGGGGAAGGGAAGCCACGTCCTCACCGGCAGAGGGCAGCAGGGCACGCGGCGCAGGCTGTGAGAAGCCTCTTATGAGTGCCTGAATCCCATTCTCGAGGGGAGGAATCCTGGTGACCCCATCACCTCTGAACGCCTTCCCATTTCAGCCATTAAGTTTCAGCTCCTGAATTTTTCCAGGGACACGTCCAAACCATAGCTCAGCCCACTCCGTCTGTCCCCGGCCATACCCAAAGCAACTTGCACTCCACTTTCCCTGAACCGCTCACTGCTCACCACAGTTTGCCGCATCGGAGGGGCCTTCCAAGGCCACCCTGCTCCCCCGCTCGTCCCGGGGTCACAGGATAGCAACTGTTTCTCTTCCTGGCACTTGCCTCTACCTGATCTATATTAAGTATCGATCCAGTTCCGTGCTGCTTCCCCACTAGCACGTGGGCGCCACGTGGCAGGGACAGCACCAGTGCCCGGAAGGTAGAAAATCAGCACCTCTCCTGCCCTGTAAGGCAGTGTCTCCTAGGCATTCTCCTCTGCCTCGGGCGTCTCTTCCCAGCCCCGGAATACCCAACCAGGACTAGTGTTCAAAGCTGCACCACCCAGCGGCTCTCTCCTCTTCAACTGCTTTCTCGAGCCCCTCTGATGGTGGCGCGTCAGTGTCCCGTGCGTTTCAGGGATTCGCTCCTGTGTCTGGATCTTCCTCGTTGGATATAAACTCCTGGAGGCCCAGGAACCAGCTCTTCTCTCCTTGCTGCCTGGGCCCCTCTCGTGCCCCGACTGCATCGGCAACACAGATCGGATGAGCAGCTGGCCGGTCCTCTGCCGCGCTGCCCCTGTCTCGCTGACGTTGGTATTGCATCCTCAATTTGGCCAGCCTTTTCCTGCCCCCCAAAATGAAAATTACACTGAAAGTTGGAATATATATATGACATGAGTATGCAGTTTTTTTAAAAAAGTAAACCAATTGAAATAGAGAGTTAAGAAAGATGACTTTAGACATTTAAAAGTCATAAGCACAACCAATTAATTTCTTCAAGTTTTCCTTCTCCCCCATTAGGCAGAATATTACATCAGAGAGGCAAAGCTTTAAAAATATGATTCCTGCTAGCCTGCAGCAGAGAATTCCACTGGGGGAGGCAGCCCCTGGTCTACGCATGGATACTTACACTAGGTTTTATTTTTGTTTTATTTAAAGTTTGGTTGGGTACAGAAAACACACACACACTTAACGAGTTAAAATATCCAAATAAAATTTACTGCAACTTTTGTAGAATTTAATTTGTGCTACAAGACATGTTGCATAGGAAACTATTCAAAGCCCCTGAGGAAAAATATCCATGGTTTTAAGGTGCAACTGGTTTCGTTTCTTCTTTGGGGAAAAAGGAGAGATGACGTGAGGTTCTGGGAAGCAGAATCAAGTTTGTCGCGTGTGATGCGTGGGGAATTGTGTGTCCCGGTTCCTGCAGCATGAACATCTAGTGTTTGTGTTTTCAGTTGGTTGGTCTTCAGTATCTGAATCAGTAGCTATGTAACAATGTTCTGGCGCAGGAGGGGAGCACACATGGATTATACTAAATAATTAACACGTTTCAAGAAGCGGTTTTAGAGAATGAGATTGAGGGACCCCCGGTGGCCCAGCTCCACTTCCGACAAACACGGTGCGTGTCCTGGCACATCCCTGGGAATCACCTCACTCCGGGGACTGGCCAGGTGTCAGTCCTGGTCTTGCCCCCCTCTGAGACGCCACCACTACCATGCAATTGTAGAATTCAGCACACATGTCTGCACCCTAAAGGTTACTAATGCAACGCTCTGCCAACGTCCTGATTTTATATGAGAAACATTTTCACTTTTAGAAAATGTTCATGTTGCTCAGATGATCTTTATGTTGTACAAAAAATGGTTTCACCTACATTATTTCTTTTCAAGGAGGTACACCAGGAAGGAAGAGGGATTAAATCTCAGATGAAATGAAATGAAATGCAGAGTTTGGCAAATGGCAGCTGGCACCTCTGCACGTCAGCGTACGGTGCCGCTTTTGGGGCCGACCGTGGTATTTGCAAAGGGCGTGAGAAGAGTTGGTGGCCGCCAGGGCTCTGATGCGGTGGTGAAGTTGTCTTCCCGTCCTCTGCAGGAAGCACCCCCTGCCCTCAAGGGAGAAACAGTACGATGGCTCTTGGGGCAGCAGGGGCCACCTCATTGTCAATGGCACTGTTCTTGCAAGTGACACAGGCAGGGGCCGTGAAGAATGTCACCTCCTGGCTGCTTTCTAGTCTGGTGGCAGAAACACCTCCCGGCACCTGATTGCTAACGTGGGATTTAACTCTGCCCTCTAAAGCTCACCAGAGATTCACGTGTTCTGTGGACGATCACCGACTACAGCATGAGGCAAAAGACGGAAGACAATTAAAATAAGAGGCGCAGGACCTAGGGCTTCTCCGAAAGAATGGGTGTGGGCTGCGCCCACTTACTGAACAGCCGCCTCTCCCGTTCGATTTATCTTTTTGCAAGCGGGGAGTGAGAAAGGTCCAGCACCCGAACAAGCATCCTTCTGTGCAGTGTTGAAATGCAAAGTATGTCTGGGAATCAGAGACGCCCCGATGACCTTTAAATACCTATGTACATCGGTGACATAATTTAAAAAGGTCTTAAACAACATAAAAACTTCAACAGCATCTGCCCCTATTAAGTTGTTTTTTGTTTTTCAACCTTTGTGGTCCATTACAAAATTAGATCCCACCTTTCTCGTATGTCCCCTCCCCCCATTCTTTATAAAAGTGATTTTACATTTAAATGTATACTTAACAAATAGAAAGCTATTTGATTGGCAACGACCAGCAGTAGAAAATCCATTCGGGCCTCTCCCTGGAGGGGGAGAGGGTGGAGCATCACGTGGACACGGTCCCTGGGTGCGGGTCCAGCGGGTGGACCCTGAGTCAGTCTGAGCAGCTGCCAGGTGACAGTAGGGCAGCTGGGGACTCGTGCTCCAGAGCAGCAGCGGGTGGCAGGGAACCCGTTCAGATCACAAGTTCAGATCACGAAGTCGTCGTGGTCGGCGGGGCTGAAGGCGGCGGCTCGCAGGATGTCCAGGGAGTTCACGAGGATCAGCGTCCCTGTGAGGTGTTTCCAGCGCTTGGTGATGGGGTTTTTCATCTTGTCCAGGCCCGTGTGCAGCTCCTGGATGACGTCCCGGTAGCTGTCCCCGATCTGGTGGCTCCAGGTGAGTAGGAAGTCATAGGCGGGTTTCCACATGGCCTGGGGGGTGGAGCCATAACAAAACAAAGGAGGGAGGGGGACAGAAGATCAGGAGACAGTGAGAGAGTTGTTCCTGTTCCTTGCCGCAGCTACGTTAGCCACTGTTTACCACACTCTTCCAAGAGTGAAACAAGCCCACGGGAGAAACAGGTGGAACCACCCTGGGTAGGCACAGCACACGCTGGAGGCAAGGATGGCACTTTGTGTGAGAGCAAGTGTGTGCCCAATGGCTCCGAGTAAACAGAAACGATTGCTCTTCCCTTACAATCCTCACAGCACTTCCTCCCTGTGCCATTCGTTTAGAAATTCACTGGGCTAATCAAGGACACCCTTACTGTTGGGACTTCCTGCTTCCTAGGTCTCGCAAGTCTGAATGTCTTCGAGGAGGCTCGCCATGGTGACCTTTGCCAACAGGAGTGAATACAAGAGCCTCTGAGCAGGAGCCCACCCGCACCGGCGTCGCCAAGGGCACGGAACACTAGATACTGCTCCAACACAGCTCGAGGATGGAGAGCAGGCCCGGTCACAAAGCACTGTTTGTGCATTACTCGATCTTGCTGAAGGTGATTTAGGATAGAACAGCACGCTGCAGGCAGTCCCGTGCGCGCCGCTCCCTCCCGTGTCGTGGGGGAGTGGCTTGCCATCCCAAAGCCAGGGCTCTCTCCCGCTCAGTGAGGGTGCACCGCATGCTGGGTACAGGCTCACATGTACCAGCTCGTCTTAACCTCATGGGAATGCTGTGTAGACCTTTTTATTATTGAGCTATGAGGGTCGAGGGACAGAGGGACAGAGGGGCTGAGTGACCACGGAGCTTGTTTGCCACTCACCTCACTGTCTACGACTCCGTTCCTGTCCCTGTGGGGAGACTCGTAGGCGTCCATCTGCTGCTTGGAGACCTTGGCCAGCTTCTCGGCCAGCTCCCGCCAGCGCGGCGCCACCTCCACGGCCGTGGTCAGGAGCACGAAGTCCTGGATGAGGCGGACCACCAGGCCCTGGCAGTCCATCTTCAGCAAGGCCTGGGGAGGAAGCACAGCGTGAGGCAGGGCAGAGTGCCGGCGCCGCGAGCTCAGATGGGTTCCACCCAGGGAGAAGGACAGGGAGGACAGAAGTGGCCCACGCAGAGATGGAGGGTGCACCACCAAGCACCTCAGTGACCAGGCCAGAAGACCCTTCCCAGGACTGTGAAACGACAGGAAACATCTTCCACAATCGATGCCCCCTTGTCAATGCTGCATGCATTTTCTAGTGTGTCTTTAGGACAGGGGTTACAACCACAGCGGGACTCGGGGAAATGCCCCTCACCTGGGAAGGAGGCCACAGGACAGAGAGCTCTGCTTGGACAGTGCAGTCCCAGCTCAGCCCCCAACAAGCACGTGGCCACCTTGGGACTCAATCCCATCTGGAAAAGGGGCTGGGTCGGACAGGCATCCGACAGAAGCCTCGACAGCCTGATGCGTCTGTGCAAGCCCAGCTGGGGTGACACGGACATTTCTGGTTTAAAGGAACAAACCAATCAGCGGGCAGAAGCCAGAAGGCCGCCGAGTCCGCACACTGCGCAGAGTGAGTCGCCCGCTCCCAGCCACAGGACTGTGCTGGGTGTCACATAGGCGGCTCTGGCTGATCACAGCTACAGAGGAGACCAAACACAGTGAGCGTGGGGCTCTGAGCTGGCCAGGATGACATCACCCAACAGGAGGAGCCCCATGAAGGCAGGAGAGCAGTGAGGGTCTGATTGTGGACCAGCCCTTAAGGCTTTCTGCTGTCCAGCAACGGGAGGAGAGGGGAAAAGACGTGGCTTCCTGGGAGAAGCGGGCTCCGAGGCATGCCCAAAGATGGTTTCTGAGTCTACCGTGGGCCCCTGCACAGGTGAGGATAAGACCACAGAGATGCTAAGATAGAAAAAAGTCACCAGGCCTGGCGTTCTTTCTCTCTATGCTCTGCTGGAGCACCTAAGGTTGTCATTTTAGAACTCCCAAGAGAGCATTTTAAAAAAAGCAAAACAACAAAGCCCACCCCACCCCCACCCTCCTCGCAGCTGGTGCCAGAGCTCTTTGGTCGGCCACTCTGTGAGGACGGGAGGGCAGGCTTGAGTTAGTGGCGCGCAGTCTGCTGGGCTGCACTTTAAAGCAAGCACAGCTGGTCTGGGCCGAGTGTTCCGACGTCTACTTCATGTTTGCCTGGGGCGGCCTGGCCACACCGAGGAATGGCGATGTTTCTGGTGACTCACTACGTGCACTGGGTGAGGCAAAACCCTTAGCTGGACACCCAGCAACTCGATCTGTGTTGTTTAAAAAAATCCTCGAGTGACAATGCATCCATCTGCGCCCTCCCTGGATCAGAGAGGTTGGCGGCTAGCTATCAACGTGGTCGGCCGGGAGGCGGTTTGAGGACCCCATGGTCTTTTTCTGTTTTTTTATAAGCTACTATGTGCCCCAGCACTCGCTGCGAGCCAGGCACTGGGCTCGTCCACTCCTCGGAACCACCCCACGAAGCAGGCGCTGAGTCAGCCCATGGTGCAGGCGACAGAGGGAAGTGTGGCTTCTGACTCTGCACCCAGTGACGGCAGGGCCAGAGCTGTGCCAGGCTCCTACCCAGCCTGCGGTTTTACTGGTAAGGAAGTGACACTGCAGAGGCCGTTGTTTGCCCAGGGTCCCATGGCTGGAAGTGACAGGAGTGGACAGAGGCAGATGCAAACTTCTTGGCACTCGGCCGGGGGCCTTTCCAAGTCTGTGAGCACCACATGGCATCAGGATTCGAACCACATTTTAAAATACTGGTCTGGATCAGGCTTCATTTCAACTACGTACATAATTCAGAAAATGGCCTGTTTCAACTTGAATTTGGATATATTCAAAAATTATTTTTTAAAAATTAAATGTTTACTAGATTTGTGTTTCAGAATTAAAAAGAGCGCACATGTATGTGTTCATGCGTGTGGGAGGAGGGAAGTGTGATAAACCTGTCAGAGTCTAATTTCTTTGGTGTGGTGGGCGCCTCGTCCTGGGAGGGTGTGCCGGACGGCAGGGCTGGACGCTAAGTCTCTCGCGGCTTCCCACCACACACCCACCAACCCGCGTGGCCGTGTGTGTGCTCAGCTGCCTGGCTCCGGAACGGCCCTGTTTTCTAGGGAAGAGAACACATCAAAGTCACCTGCTTCTGAGTGAGTCATTCCTGGCATGAGCGATCAAAACCGCTCTGTCCACAGGACACAGCGGTCCTGAGAAATGCAGGCTGCGTTTCTGGCCCTGGCTGGGGAGCAGCGCACCTGGACCCCGCCCGGGGGCAGCCCGGGTTCCATCTCCACGGAGCTCGATGAATGAAGAGGTCGGCATTTCCGACACCAGGACTGAGGCATCTTTCACGCCCTCACTCCGGCTCCACTGTACCACTTTCCCCGAGCCCAGAGCTGGTTCCATTTGCTACAGAGCTGCCCACATGATCAACAGGGATAATTTGTGCATTTTTTAAAGGGCAAATTTTGGGTGCCCACCAAGTTTTAGCAAGAGAAAAATGTCATTGCAGGAGGATTTAGCTCTGCGAACCTTCTCCCTGTAGCTTCCTCGTTAATGTCCGTGCACACACGGAAACCAGAAGACACCCAGTGAAATAATGCACAATGCTGATTTCAACTGGAATTTCGTTAACTTGCCAGAACTATGATGTGAGTCAGGGTAACCAAACTTTACCTATAAAGGGGCAGACAGTAAATACTTCTGGCGTGTGGGCCACAAGATCTCTGCCAACCTGGCCTGGTCGCAGCCACAGACAACACACGTACACGCAGGCCTGGCTGCGTCCCAGCAAGCACCATGTGCATGAACGGGGCGCACGGGCCATCGCTTGCCGACTTCTATGTCAAGAACATTCTTAGGAAAATCCAAAGAAGTGCCATTCAGATTTTTGCTGTACGTTTGTCCCACCCTGCTTCCTTCCCAGGATGTTCAGACACTAGACGGGAAGCCCACGGATGGTGGGCCACCTGCCTCCTCCCTCCACATGCACAGCCACAGGGGTAGAGTCCCCTGCTCTGGGGCCATGTGGAAGGACCCCCCACCCCCGCCTCAGGACTCTGTCTCATGCCCAGCTGTCAGCTAACCGCCTCCTCTTCTGGAGAACAAGGTGGGCTTTCTCCCAGTCCACAGAGAACCCCCCACACCTCTCTCTCCAGACCCAGATCTCCTGTTCCCTCACTACCTCCTCATTTTCGTTAGTTTTCCAGCCTCTCTGGGTTTATTTCAGCTCTCACCCCGCCCCTAAAAACAACCACCCTCCCTTGATTTGCATCGCGTAGTGACTCTTCCCCTTTCTTTCTCATAGAAACTTCTCCGCAGAGTCCATGACACCCCCATTTTACCTCCCACCACTTGACCAGAGCGACGCTTGTGACGCCCTCACCAATGGTTCCTGGTTGCCAAGCCCAAGGGCTTCGTTCTTGGTGGCGGCCCCAGGACCAGCTGTGACTGCCAGCCCTGGCCCTGCAGGAAACCCTCCCCTGGCTTTTAAGCCATTTAGTGTTTCTGCCCCATCTCTGACTGTCATCTCCACCACCCCACCCTGCCCACGAGACGGAGTCCATGCGTCTGTTCATGACGGTACCCCAAAAATCTAGAGTCATCTCGCATGGAAAGCATGTTGTCTTTCTAGTTCTTAAAAGCTGGTCCCCCAGGGTCTGTCTGCCGCCCACGTCTCCCAAGCACCCTCCAAACACACACGCTTTCTCGTGGGATGGCCGTCACCCAAACCTGCACAGGTGCACACACAGCTTGAGCCAAACTCTTTCTTCACTTGGTGTTTTCATAATTCACAGTACAAATATGCATCAATGTGTGTGTACTTCCCACTTGGGCTTCTGAACACAGAAAACCCTTTCTAAGAGACACAGAGTACTTTAAACATTCATTAAAGGACTTCGGTGCCCTAAAAACAAAGAATGTATTTTGTAGTTTCTCCGCTTTATAAAAACAACAAAAGGTCTCGACATCAAAGCCCAAGGCTCTCAGAAGCGAGGCGGGCGTACTCACCAGCGCGACTCAGTGCAATCGCTGCAGCAGCGCTGGACGCTGTCACCGGTATGCCCTGCCACCCTGGCGCCTGGCTCTCCCTTAAGTGACGCGTGCTACCGTGTACTCTGTCGATGGCTTTCCAGGTCTCTGGAGTGGGCTGCAGCTCACAGAGACAGCAGGACAGGGACACACCTCGCAGCAGGGGCAGTAATGGTGAGAAGCCAACGCTTCCAGGCCCTCTGGCAGCCTGAGAACCACCGGTGCCTTCCCACACGGCAGCACCCGAGCCTCCGCCGCACACAGAGCTACCTGCGCACGCTCCTGCGCGGGAAAAGCCGATTAGGGAACAGCCCGCATGACAAATTCCATTGAACTCAATGGACAACCAGTGTGTGCTCTGTTAAGAGGCTGCCTCTGGGAGGCGGGGCTGGGAGAGCCTTCTCTTCTCTGCCTTTGTTCTGTGGTATGGTAAAGTATGGATGCAAACACGCCTATGCTGCTCTTACAAATAGATAAAGCAATGAGGATTATTCTTACCCCGGAGAAAAACGACACCTGGGATGAGCCAAAGCAGCTGTGCGAACCCAGAGACCCTGGAGCTCTGGAGCCCGTGCTGATGCGCCCAGGGCCCTCGAGCACATGGGGGGGGGGGGGGCGCGCTTCCCCCACCACCTGCTGCGAGGCACCCAGAACGGAAGGGCTGGCCGCAGCCTGTCCCTCCGCTGCTGACTGCCAGGTTGGAAATCAGACGGAGGGGAAATGGCCAAGAGAGACTCTGCACAAGCTTGTCGGGGTGCTCCCAACCTAGCAGCCCCTGGATTTGAGCCGTACCTCTCACCTCTCACCTCTCTCCTTGGCTAAAAATGAATTATCCACTCTTTGCGTGAGCAAGAGAAGAATCCAGGGATGAGGGGACGAGTGTGAAAAGGAGCTGCTCCTGCAGACCCTGGTGTTCTGTGGGAAAGACACTGAGCGCCAAGAGGCAGCAGCGCAGACTCCCCTGGGCTCTGACGCCGGCTGGCCTGGGAGGGAATCCCACCAACTCCCCATCACCCCCCTAAAGCCCGCAAACCCTCCCAATGCCACAGGAGAAGCACAAGCCTTCCCTGGCCCAGGAGGCTTCATCCTCCTCCCCGACCCCATCTCCCAAATCACCCATGGTGCCTCTGCCCCCCTGGTCCTTGCCCGTGCTGTCCTCTCTGACCCGGTGTCCTTCCCCGATCAGGGGCTCTTACATGTCCTCCAGGCTCCAGCCCCCCACGCCCAGGAGGTGGATCGCTCCCAGTCTTCTGTAGGGGAAAGGCCCGATCTTCGGAAGCGCAGCACCAACAGGCCCTGCAGAGATGCTCAACGCCCACTCCTGGTCTGCTGGGAAGCCGCGGCCGTGACCTTCCACCCAGTCAGCCTTGTCCTGCCTCTGACAATGAATGTGACTTCAAAAGCTCTTAAATTTGAGGTCTGGGGGCGTCCCAATGTCAGGCTCCCCTCTGCCACCACAGACGGCCGTGGCCCTGATAGAGAGCAAGGTGGCCCCTGAGTGCAGCTATAACCGCATGTGAGGAGACCCACGTGGTTGCGTGAACGAAACCAGAGAACGAAGCATGGTAATGCCACGTGAGAATGTACCGGGCTCTGATCCTCAGCCCGGCAGAGGCCTGCACTCATCGCTCACTCATTCGTTCATTCGTTCACTCATCTGTCAGACATTCATTCATTCACTGAATGTCTCCTACAGGCTAGAGTCCCTCCTTCCTCCGCTGGAACAATGTCCAATGAGGGCAACAAGGAGAAACAGGTACACAGGTAGTAAACAAGACCAAAGCTCTGTGATGACAATGACAGGGGATGGCGAGGTGCACGGTGACCTGGGGGCACAGGGCTGCAGGGAAGGGCCCCTGCACGGAAGGTGGTGAGGATCAGCCCTGTGTATCAGCTCCGTGAGACCGGGGAAGAGCTCCAGGCGGAGGAACAGCATCTGCAAAGGCCTGAGGCGGGCAAGCCGGGGTGTGCAAGACACAGAAGGGGCTGGAGTGGCCGGTGTGCAGGGAGCACGGTGGCCCCCGGGGGAGATGGGCAGGGCCGGGCCTTACAGGGCCTTGTGGGGCAGGGCGGGGGCCGGGCTGCTCTGATGGCAGTGGGGAGACAGACGATTCAACTCCTCTTTCCTTCTCATCTCCCTGCGAACTGACCGTCCCAAACCTTCACCTCGCCTAATGCATTAAACACTTGGTTTCCAGAGCAGGAGTCCTAACAATGAAACAGAAAGCTATTCCAAAAATAGGATGGGGGGATGTGGGGTGGTCAGGCTGAGACTTGCCAGGGAGGGGCAGGGAAGGCCATGGCCAAGGCCGTAGGAAACTTGACTGCTCAGTGATGACCAATGTGTAGAAATGAAACACCGGGTTTGCAGTGACTCCTCAAATGGGCTGTGGTTTCTAGAAGCCTGGCCAAGACGATGGCTGAGATAGGTAGTGACGGGTGGGGGCGGGGAAACTGCAAAACCAGTTTCACTTTATTTCCAGAAATGCTAACCTTGCCTCAGGGAAACGTCCGGCCAAGGGCAAGTTCCGCTTCCTCCTCCCTGGGCAGAGGGGGACCCAGGGCACACAGGCCCCCTCCCTCATTGAACTGACCCGAGGAAGCCACCGAACACCCTCTCCCAAAGTTCGCCACATCGAATAAAAAGAGTTTGATCATTTAAGTCTTCTGGAAAACATTAGAGGGAAATGACCATAAAAGCCGCCTCCCCAGTTACTGCTTTGCCGTAGCTGGCGAGGGCTGCTTGGGTCGTTGTGTACTTCACCTCTGGCCACTCCAGGTGAGCTTTTTCCACTCGGTGAAGGAACAAGCGACCCCGGCATGGTCCATGAGAGCACAGTTCCACGACCCAAGGAGACACCGGCGAAGGCTCTCAGGAGAGGGAGGCGCATACTCCCATGGCTGTGCGGGGTCAGTCCACGGAGAAGACCAGGCAATGCGGTTCGGCACAGCTTCTGGAAAGCTATTTCACAGGAGGGCCAGGAGGTGTGTTCTGAACTACATGTGGGCGGTGGCCAAGGGGAGGGACACAAGTCAACCCTGAGCCCCGAGGCCAGGGGAGGTACCTCTGCTGCCCTGTTGCCTCCTCTCCACCAAAACCGCACTGACCTCCCTTCTAACTGCCACTTTCGCCCGTCTCCCGACGCGGGCAACCCCAGGCCTTGCCCGCTGCACGCCTCTGGGGCTGCACATTATCGTGGGCTAAGGTCAGAAGGTCTTGCTCATGCCCCATTCGTACCAGGCGGCACCACGCACACTCTGCGCACAGCAGCTGTGCCTCGGTGGACCTGTTCGTGTCATCCTAGCTCAACGCAGACAGCCGGGACACGGGTGTGTGCGATGTCGGACCCTCAGCCGTGCTCGTGTCGACACGCGCATCCCCGGGCCCTCTCAGATGCACCTGGCTCGCTATTCCACGACGTGCTCTCAGAACCGCAGGTGTCGGGTGGGGAAGGGGAGCGGCAGAGCGGGCAGAAAGGCAGGGGAACTGAGTCACATCTCACAGAAGCCAGGAGGCGAGAAAGGCTGGATGGGGCCGGCGGAACGGAAAGTAGGTGGCAAAGTGACAAGGGCTTCCCCACGGGAACTAAAACTAGTGCTGTGCCCCTCAGGAGGCTGGGGCTGAACCTGCTCCATCGCAGAAGACGCCGCAGAGGACACCTGCCACGGACACAGCTGGGGGCTGCAGGCCAGGGTGTGTCCCAGAGCGTGACACTCACTTCCCCCTTTTCATTCCTTATGATTCCACTCACTCAAACCAATGCGAAAGGGGGAGGAAACAACAACACAGGTGCCGGAAGCTTCAGGCAAGAAAAGGAGAAAAAAACTTACACTGAGGTAAAGTCAGGCTTTGGGGCAGTGGCTTTTAAAGCTTTTGGGTCACAGAGATCTGGTTGGGAACCTGATTAACCATGAGTCAGTCTGCTCCCAAGAGACCTGAACAGAGGTGGTGGGGACACAGGCCCCCTGTGCCCCCACCCCCACTGGGTCCACTCTGAGACTGCTGCGGACCCCTAGGTTCAGTAAGAAGAGACACCGGATGCTCTTCTCTGTAGGGGTTTCTGGGTTTCGGGCACCCTCAGGAACCCATGTAGACTCCCGCCCCAGGTGCACACTTCAAACCCCGTCTGTGCACTCTGGGCAGCTGAACATCGGCCAAGACACTGTCCCAGGACCTATCACCCTGCGCCCCTCACCCAGGTGTATCAGGAAGGGGCTGAGAGGCTGAACCGAGCCTGTCCCCGTCCACCCAAGCAGCCGCCCAGCACTCACCATCACGAGCTCCTTCTGAAAGGACTTCCGGTCTTTGCTCTCCGTGTTGTTGCAGTCCTCCTTCAGCTTCTCTAGGACAGACGCCACCCGCTCGGGCTCACTGTCCAGCTCTGCCCGGCAGAAGAAGGTGAGCGGCAGGTTCACGTAGCCCAGGGCGTCGGCGAAGGAGCGCCAGCTGCTGATGTTCTCCATGAGCAAGGTCCTCACCGAGGCGTAGATGTAGGTGAGGAACTTGCAGGGCCGGAGGATCTGCTCCAGCAGCACCGAGGTGCTCAGTTCGGGCCCCGAGAGCAGGCTGGGCCGGGCCCTGCCGACCACCAGCACGTTCTTGGCGTGCACGAGGCCAACCTTGCCCTGGTAGTAGCCGATGTACCACTCCTTGGTCCATAGCTGTCCCTTGAGCCTGATGCGCTCCTCACTGAGCAGCGCGATCCCGTCGCCCTTCTTGTACTCCAGTAGGTAGTGGTTCTTGTTCTGCCGCACCACGGTCTTGAGCAGCTTGCCGAACTTGAGGCTGGACACGGGCCGGTCCTGAAAGGTCGGGTACTTGGTGGTGGCGGCGAAAGGGGACAGGATGATTTTCCCAACTTCGTTCTTCTTGAGAAACCTCCTTTGCCCAGATGGCTTGATGGCACTTTTCGGGGGTGGCTGGGGAGTCTGGACGCAGAACTGGGTCAGGATGGCCTCCTGATCGTCTTTGACCTGCACCCGCAGTGTGAAGTCAGAGAGATCGCCGGGGTTCTGCGAGGTGATGGGGAATATGAGGCGGCTCACCCTGCCCAGCTTCATCTGGAAGCCCCGCACGACCTTGGCCTGCTCCCCGGCCTTCACTTCGTAATTGGTCATATTGGAAAACATGCATACTTTGAGATCCTGGGGCCTGGACAAGATGAACTGGTGCTTGCCCCACAGCTGCAAGGCCACTGGGGCAGGGCTGGGGGCCTGGCGGGTGACCTCGCTGACCAGGAGCGTCTTTGGGGCACAATCATGCCCGAAAATGGTCACCACTGTCTTGAAGGATGGGTGGATGTGTTTGGGGCCATAGAGACCCACGGTGACTTTTTTATGGATGAAGTCCCAAACAGTGGAGGGGTAGAGGATGTTCGGGCCGTGGGCAACGATGGCCAGGTACATACAGGGCTCGAGGTTGTCCAGCTGTACCTGGATCGTGTCCCCGTAGCTGTAGACAAGCGGGATGGAGATGTACGGCCCTTCCTTTGAGTCGCTCCTCAGGCACTGGAGGGCCACTGTGCTTTTGCTAAAAAGGTCATTTTTCACCTCGGCTGAAACTTTCATCTCCAAGATGATGAAGGTTTTCACTTCCAGGTTGCTGAGTTTGACCTCTAAAACGGGGCTGATGCTGCTGGACTTGTCGTTGTTGAGTTCCAGTGGGGGGTCCAGCAGGGCTTTCATGGAGATCTGCTGCGTCTCCCCAGGGGCCACGTGGCCCTCGGGCATGTGGATGCTGATGCTGGTGTCGGGAAGCTGCACGGCGCCCCCCGAACTATCCAGCTTGCACACGATGTTCGTCTCCACGGCCTGCGTCTGCCCCCAACCGGGGCTTTGGCCAAGCAAGTCCAAGTCGTGGCAAGACCGGGCCAGCTTCCGGTGGTTCAGCCAGGCAGTTCGAAAATCCTCCCGGCTCTGAAATTGCTCGGGCGCAGGTGACTTCAACCCCGTGAAGAAGTTCGATGACGTGGGAACGTCAGCCTTGGCTTGGAGGACGGAGAGCTCCGACAGGCTGTAGGAGCGCTTGCTCCTGAAGAAGGGGTTGTCCCGCTTGGCCGGCTGCTCTGCGTGGAGTCCGTTGGTGGCCGGAAGCTCATCGAAGATGTTGCCGGTGCTGTTCGTGGTTGCTGAGCTGGACTCCGTGAACGAGGAAGTGCCCGTATCAAAAAGGAGCAAATCCACAGTACTTTTGGGATTCAGCTCATCCAAGCTGGGCAGCGCTGGCACGTTCCCATTCAGAAATGGGTTTGTTTGGACCCCGCTCCAGAAAGGGTTGTTACTGTACGTTCTGCCCAACCCTTTCTTGTCATCCGGCCATCCCCCGAGCAGCTCTAACTCTGTGGCGACTTCATCCGGGCTGTCCGGGAGGTTGTCGATGACGCCGCTGTCGCTCAGGGTCGAGTTCCGGTAGTTCAGCGGCTGCACGTAGGAGGAAGGGATGTAGCCCATCTCGGTGGTGTTGTGTGCGTACCACCACTCGCCGCCCGACGTGTCCAGCACGTAGAGGTGGTCCCCCTTGGAGAACTTCAGGGTGGTGAAGTTGTTTGGGCAATAGTCCTTGATCGCGATCACTTCCTTTGCGTTTCCAAAAGGTGTGGGGCTGTCCGCTAGCAAGGCACTGGGGGAAGGCACTGTGCAAACAGAGAAACAGACGGTGAGGGCGAGGCCAGCGGGTGCCATGGGACGCTTCAGAGGGTAGGCAGAAAGGTGGTGTGCGGGAAGCGGGGACCGAAAACCAGGCAAACAACCAACAGAAACAAACCAGAGTGAAGTTCAGCACTTAACTCACTCGGGACAGCACCGTTTCCACACGGTCACTTTGCAATTCAATGGGAGGACCACAGAGAAAGTCTCTCCCTCACCCACAGAAACGCAGATCAGCGCAGTGGGATATTTAACATGTCCCTACAGTCCAAGCACCTCATTCTGACGCAATTTTTCTAACTTCTTAACGGAACTGCCACTAGGTACAGAGAGAAGCTGAATGCGATATATTAGAAAACACAGGGATGGTATGAGTTAGGCAACTCGTGGCATTTAACTCAGAACTGGAAAGGAACAGCTTCCAAAACAGTCTCTCAGTCTTGTGTAGGAGCCCATTCCAAGTTCTGCCTTAACACGGAATACGTCACGGAGGGAAAGGCTCCCTTGACAAACAGGCCAGGTTCTTAAATACCCAAGTTCAACTTATTCCCCACAGAAACGAAACTGTTCTCTTTAGAGGAAAGAAACAGTGTGAGGTCAGTCTCTTGCAACCTCTTTTAAGTGATCATTCGAAATCACTACGTGAAAATGGACTGTCCACACACCCTGAAAATCAGAGGTTTATGCCTGGTTGTCATTCACAATGCTATTAAACCAGTGTGTGAGCGGTCTGGAGAATTCCAGCACTATAAAAAGTGAATCAAGTTAATTTATGGTTCTTGGCATTAAACTATGTATTTTACCAAAGGAGACAGCAATTGCAACAGCAAAAAAGAACCATCTAAATAACTGGTGTGCGTTTTGAAAAATAATGGGTATGACTAAATACCCAAGCATTCTCTCCCTCCCATACATGAGAAGGTGTATTCAGAGGATGAAGGAAGTTCTTTCTGACAAAAATAAGCCCCAACACTTCTGCCCAGAACCTCTTACCCCCACCTCAATTGCCTTGTTTCCACAGTTTGCTGATATCTGCCTTCTTATAACAAGCAATTGAAAGAAAGCTTTTTTTTTAAGTTGCCTATGCAAATGATCAAACAAAAGACTAAATTTTTAGTTGAACTAAACCTACATCTTTTCAATATGTAATTAAGTCAACAGTCATCCTACTCTTATCAAGTTGGCCCTCCAAAAAAAAAAAAAATCATCTGCCAGTTTCCTTTCCCTTAGGAAAAGAATAATGAAAATTGAATTATATTTTGTTGGCAAAGTCTTAGGAAATCAGGCAGGAAGTTTCTATTAATTTACATGAATTAGGCTACAGAGATGCGCTTGGCTGGGAGCATGCTTGGCCTTGAAGCCTCACCTACCCCTCCTGTGAAACTACATTGTCTTTCTGGGGTGTTTCAGAGCACCTGGCTCTGGGACCACCACACCTGGAATACATTGACGCCTTAGAAGCTGTGTGATCTGTGCAGCACGAGATTCTTTGCGAGGGAGAACAAGCGTCTTCCCTCCGTGGGCTTTGGTGAGGATGCGGACTCACAAAACGTTATGTGAAAACGGACACCTCCGCCCCACTCCTGATGTTATTTTCTCCATAGGTCTTATCACCGACCACTCTGTCGTGTACCTGAGGGGGTTCGGAACATGCTACCCTAAAATATGGCTCCACGAATATTTTAAAGCTGAAGGAGTCTGAGAAACAGCAGGTGCAGGGAGGACTCCCTGACCTTCCCCTGGAGCAGGTGCTCAGACCCTCCGGTGGGAGGTCCCCTCCCTAAGCCTGGAGGACAGAGCACCCTTGTCGCCAAGGACACAGGGAATCTGGACACACAACCCTGGCTGCTCCCCCTTGTTCGCTACGCTGGGCTCGGGGTTTTGCTGTCCTATCCCTTCTCTCCACGGCTCCATACTTCATCAGATCCAGGACAAAAACACTCAGGTTCAACTGTTTCTTTGGATCTTCATTTCCTTATGAAGGAATATATACGTAATACTTTCGTAATACACACACAACTAAGTTTTCATGCTTTTCTCTCATTAATCTTTTGTTCCGGGGGCCCGAGCCAAGAACTCAGAGAGTAGAAGAAAATGACATTTTTCCTTGCCTGTGTACCTTACATATTTGTTTCGATTTTGGGGGGTGGGGAGGGTCTCCATCTCCCCATCAGGGTATAAGCACCGTGAGAGCCTGTTTTGTTTGCTGTTGTGTACCCGGTGCCTCGTGCACAGCCTGGCACGTGGCGTGGGCTCAACGAATATTTGTGGAAGGGATGGTCATCGTGCACGCTTCCTCGGCACGGAGAGGCCACACCCATGTCACTGGATGGTGGTGTCGGCCACAGCAAAGTCTGAATTCCCTTGGCTGTGCCCTTACACTATGAAATCACAAGACAGACAATCACTTGGCCTGGCACGGAAGTGAACAAAACAGTAAGAGAAAACGGCTTTGGGGGGAGGCGGGAGGAAAGGCTGTGGGCTGGGCCGAGGCGGGGATCCATCAGCAATTCTCCCCACTTGTTTCCTAGTCCTCGTCCTCAGAAACATAAACCGTTTCGTATCCTTGACACATCTATTGGAAATGTCACATAAAAACTAAAACCAAACGAAAATTCAACAAAGCTTGCCAGCCACTAAAATCTTGTTAGAATCCTTCAAACAATCCTTATGACGTTTCCCCAGAATAATTCCCTTTCAGTAATATTTTCAAAATTAAAAAACCAGAACAATCAAGCATGCTTTGTGCATAGCCTAAAACACATCAATGCAAATGATCATTTTGGCTTTTTTTGTTTTTTAAACCAGACTGAAGATAAGAAGGGTTTTACTTAAAATTCCAAGGACCTTCCTTAGAAGAGAAGTGGTCACATAGATTCCACTCAAGGATTCGGCTCATCCAAGAGGAAACTGCACCCCTTCCCTTCGGGACCCCCAGGAGGTGGATGTGTGGGCTCCTTTCGAGACGAGGCCCTCCATCTGTCCACTGCCACCGGGGACACCGGGGAAGGAAGGGGACACCACTCCATCGAACGCCAGAAAATCCCTACTGAATTCCACCTTAATGAATTCTGGGGCGCGTTGCCCAGATTCACAGCTACTTTGATTGTTATACCAAAAAAGCTCCCTGGTGTTAGGAAGTTGAACGCGCTGCATAATATATTTCCCATCTCTCTGCCTACGTTCTTATGCAGCAAAGCATTCATCAGAGCAGAAGATTCCACAGCAGGTATTTCGGCAGGAATAAATTCCCACCTTGAAGCCTGTCCGTCATTGGGATGTGATGCCGCGTGGGATGCCGCCGGGGGCACACGCTGCCTCTCGGCAGAGTCCAGAGGTCTCCGGCCAATCCGTCAATCTCGGATTCCCAAACACCCTTCTGCCCAAGCGAACCTGCCCCTCCTCATGTTTGAGGCTGTCTTGTTTGTCTTCCTCCCTTCCCTGGGGTGTTCTTTTAGAAGTAACAGCCAGTATTTCCTTCCAGATCATTATTTTTTAAAAATTCAGCTCTCTGCCCCTGGCTTTAAGACCCAAACCGCATAATTTACCCTCACATTTTCTAGCTTTCACACTGATTAGCTGGGCTATAAAGTAAGAAAACAATGTGCATTACTGGAAGCTGAAAAATAAATGCTTCCGTTACTTACAGCAACACCCGATAACTCTGTTGCTGTCTTATTAATAAAATCTCATGGTCCTTGTGCTAGTCTTTTCTCTTAAAGAGCACTTACAGCAACATTCAGGGCTGCACACACAAACCAGAGACGGGAAGCGTAATAGTCAGTGAGTCGGACATGAACATGGCATGTATGATTTTCAGTGCAGCAGGGGGAGCTTGTAATTCTATCTGGGGGAGAGCAGTTTGGTTCGAGAAACATTTATTTAGCGCTGACTTTGTGCAGGGGCTAAGGATGCAAAGGTAGTTCCTCCTGTACAGCTGTGCTCTAGGCAGCACAGGGGTGATTTCGACAGAACGTGCTAAACGCTACGAGACAGCAAACAAACGATGACATTGATGGTGACGCTGCTGCTGCTGCAACTGCACAAGGCACGCAAGACAGGCTCTGCACGGCCGAGTCAGGGTAGACTTCTAGGAAGAGAATGACGCACGGGTATCCACCTCGGTGTCCAAAAGGCAGGTTTTCTCATCAAGCCAATTTTATGAGGCCGCTGGCAGCACTGAGCAGCGGGGTTGCTAAACCCTGGGGCTGCCTTCCAGACCAGGTGTTGGCAAACCACAGCCCCTGGCCAAAGGTGGCTGGCAGTTTTTGTAAGTAAAATTGTCCTGGAACACAGCCATGTCTGTTTGTTTGCCCACTTCTAGGGCTGCTTTCGGACTGCAAGACCAGGGTCGAATGCCGTGGCAGAGATCGCAAAGCTTAAATTAGTCACCATCAGACCCTCTGCAGAGAAAGTTTGCTGAGCCCTGTCCCAGCCGACCTTTCCTCATCTCTAGTACTCTCAGCAGGTCACTACTCACCACCCTCTCCTTCCCCCTGGGTTTCTGCACCACCAAGACCCCCACCTAACTGTGGCCAAAACTCCTCAGGAGAAAGCAAACATATTCTGTATTAAGAAGGGGTTTCGTTATTAATGGAGACATGCAAAATCTCCTTCCAACACCAAAAAACAAGACAAGTGACTACTGTTCCAGGGCTGAACTGACAACATGATGAAGTGTGGAGAGCTAAAGTATAATTGTCTGAAAGCTACACTGGCGGCCTTTAAAGTAGAAAGTCCCTGGGTCTGAGGGCACTTGCCAATCCCAGCCTCTCCCCTCAGCTGCAGTTCCGTCCCCAGACGCTCACCTTTGACATCGTTAAAGCTTGTCTCTGAAAACCCCTCGCTCAGGTCGATCAAAGTCCCCTCTGACTTGCACCGGGGGAGGCCGTTGGAGTTGGCAGCTCGGATCCGCTGAGCCGCCATCTCGAAACTTGCCTCCTGCGTGAGCTGCTAAGGCCTCATGTTTCTTCCTGCAGCTATTCCAGCGGGTGCCGACGCCTCCGTCTCAGGCAAACACGGTGCACGGCGGCATCAACCTGGCAATGTGCTTCCTCCTGAAAGGAAGAGGGAAAAGACGATTTCCCTTGAGCAAGTGGACATGGCTTCAACAGTACTTTTATGGAAGTGGGAATCCTCTTTCTTGCAGGCCGTTGCGGCACAGACAGACCCATTTTCTCTCCCCTGGCCTACGAGAGCACAGCGCGCTCGCCCCGGACTCTGTGCCCACTTTGTGCTCTGCTCATCGGCTCCCTGGGCACACACAGTCTGGGCAGCGTTTCCTGGCTGCCGCCTGCACCTGCTCCTCGTGGGGGCACAGTGAGGTTTGTGAAATCAGCTCTAGCACCTGCCCCCCCGTTCACTGCAGTCAAAGAGGAGGACAAAATGGGACTGTACAGGCCACGCTGCTCGTCACAGGGTAGGGGAGAGGAGACACCCGCCTCCGTCTGTCCAGAGAGAGCTGGTCCCGGCGGAGGAGCAGCCATCACGGTCACTCGGCGCAATGGCTCTCGTCCTGCTGCAGTGGCCGGGAGGGGATGTGCCTGCCCACCTGCTCCTAAAATCCTCCCCTGACCCCAGACAGACCATTGTAAGCACAACACAGACTGGCCATAAAATATTCCTGGTGTAACTTATGCAGACGCACCTGGGCATATTTACTGAACCAGCACATTGTTACGAAGCCAGCAAAGATGTTTCTGTAGGAGACAGCACAAGGATCACCCCTAAGGCCTCTGCTTTTCCTGGGAGGGACACACGGACAGGACTTAAGCATTGGGGGGTGTTCTGGATACAATGTGGTAACTGGCTCTGAGCGGACCCTTCACTGGGACCAGTGGATAGGAAACAGGAACGGCTGAGAGCCGATTTCAAAGAGGTGAATTTCACACGCTGTCCAAGAGAAAGAGGCAGACACCGCCACAGCTGGCCCGCAGCACGCGGACCTGAGAGCAGGCCAACTCCACCCCAGAATAGCTGGGCTCACACAGGATGGTCTGAGGCCCCTTATCCATCAATTGCTCTATCCAGTGACGGCTGGAAACGTGGCTTCTGAGCTGGCGAGCTACCTTTGCCGTGCAGAGACCTGGAGGCCCTGACACCACCCTCTGTGGAGTTTCTGCATGGGGTGGGGGTGGGGAGGACCTGGGCTGCGCCCATCCCCACTCTTTCCCCAGGCTCTCCGCGTGGTGTCCACGGCTCAGGTGGCCACTGGCAGCGAGCAGAGCCAGGTCTGCATGTTCTGCTGCTCAGGTTCAATATTCGACCCTACTAAGCCTCAGTTTTTGTATTGTGAGCTGAGGTAATGAAAGCACTATCTTGATTTGATTTGTGTGAAGAATAAGTTAAGATAAACCACATAAGACACGTGGGACATGCAGCAGGGGCTCAGTGAGTGCCGGCCACCACGCCTCGGCTGCCACAGCCAGGGGCACCAGAAGCTGCAGTCCCAGCTCCAAGTGACCGGTGGGTGGCGGCTAGAGGGAGGTGTCCCTTTCTGTCCCAAGGCCTCGGACGGCTGCACTCCTGCACCTGGAAGCTGCCCACAGGGAAGGCATGTGTTAGGGATTGAACGGTGTCCCCAGGTCCTATGCTGGAGCCCTGACCAGGGTGATGGCATCTGGAAGTGGCGCCTTCAGGAGACAGTAGTTGGATTTAGGCGAGGCCCCAGGTGTGGGGTCCCCATGACACGATTAGTGCCCTTACTTGAGACACGAGAGAGCGTCCTCTCTCTCCCGCTCTGCTATGCGAGGACACAGTGAGGCCAGGAAGAGCCCTCACCAGGACCTGAGTTGGGGGCACCTTGATCCTGGACTTCCAGCCCCCAGAACGGTGAGAAATAATCTCCCTGTTGAAGCTGTGGGTCTGCGGTGTGTGGCCTTGGTGGCCTGAGTGGCTGAGACCGTGCGTTAGCAGCAGGGCAGGGGGAGGCGGGCAGAGCTGCAGTCCCGGACCTTGTTCCCAGCCGGTGCCACCGTCCCTCCCACCCAGCACCGCAGGGAGGGGCTGACGAAGGCAGGTTATTCCAAGGGAGGAATAAAGCACCTGGCAGTTTTCCTGTCAGGGGAGCTGGCATATTTTCCAGCCTGCCCCGGGAGGTAAGGACGGCTGGACTACGCGCTCTCACTCACCGTTCCAATCCCAGAGGACGACCTGGCGTCCTGGGGGTGGCAGCCCCAGCCCCCCAGGCTGGAAATGACAGCGCTGGAGCCAGGAGACCCTCTCCCGCCCAACACTCCACCCGAGCTGCGGTGTGGGACACTGAGGCTGGGTGCTGACAGGCTCTGGGGACATGGCACCCCCACCCCCATTGGAAGCAGTGACCAGGGGCTCTGTCTGCACATGCTGCGTGTGGAGCTGGACGCAGAGGCCTGGCCACCATTCCAGAGATGGCTCCACCATGGCCAGGCAGCCTGGAAGCCCAAGTGGCCCCCAGATCCTGGGGCCACATGTCCGGGACCCTTAAACAAGGACTGCTGGGCAGATACCGCGGAACCCCAGTGACAGCACCTCTGGAGCAGCCTGCTTTCAAAGGGCTGAGAGACAGCAATGAAAAGCCTTCCGGTCCAAAAGGCTCAGTATCATTTACTGGAGAAAACCAACGTAGACAGAAAAAAGCCATGTGTGAGCAGGTAGGGGAGGGGAGCTTCAGGACAGTTTAGAGCCCACAACCTGTGCTGGCCTGGGGGACTTTCACATGTGACAATGACACTTCTTACCGCAGTCTCAGACTGATTGTGCCTCTGGGAGTCAGCGACGGGCTATGGCCCAAGGAGGAGGGAAAAGTCAGGAGCTGTCAGCTGTGAGAGTGACTGGGGCACACCTGGCTCACCCCTGGAGCACAGCTGGCTCACCCCTGGAGCACACTTGGCTCACCCCTGGAGCACAGCTGGCTCATCCCATAAGCAGCTGGGCGTCCCCACCCACTCACCCAGTCCAGAGTTGCTCTAGGACCCTGTGAGCACAGGTGGAAGGGCTCTGGGGTCGCAGCTCGCTGCGCAAAGGCTCCTGTTCATCACCAGCACGTGCTCTTCCTGCTGCACCCACTGTGTCCTTCCGTGGAAGGGAAAGAGTCGTGCGTGTGGCAGCAAAGGCAGGTCTCTGCTGACAGCCTTACACAGAGAGACGCCGGGAAGCTTTGCAGGAAGGCCTTGCTATGGGGCACCTGCTGGGCCAAGGGGAGCAAACCTGCTCACGGGGACCCCCCAACCTGGTGAGAGGCCCAGGGCTATAGCAGGGATGGGTATCAGACAGCATGACCCGCTCCCTGGTGAGGGCCTGGAAAGCTGCCGAGAGAGCGAGGAGGAGGAGGAGGAGGAGGAAGAAGACCCTGCCAGGCAGAGGGCAGGGCCCAGCTGGGCAGGGGCCCAGGGCCTGAGAATGTGGCAGGCGTGGCGGAGAACGGGCTTGTAGTGGGGCCTGCAGCAAAAAGACGGAAGGCAAAGTAAACAGGGCCATGACATGGTGGCGCAGGGTCAGTCTTTCCTTGAAGACTCCAGGGGGCCACTGAAGGTCTCCGTTTGAGAAAGGCACCCGTGGCTACAGAGGAGGAAGAACCGAAGCAGCAGTGCTGTGTTCTTTGGAGACTGCTGGCACAGTTCAGCAGGGGCTGCTGAGGGCGGGGGGTGCAGGCTGCTATGACGATGGGGCAGAGATGCCGGGATGCCTCCACCTCCCTCAAGGTCTTGTGCAGAGTTGCTGGGTGAAGTCTACCCGGGGCTGACTTTATCCAGTGGTGGCCAACATCAGGTTCTGTCTGGCTAAGCTGAGGCACCTGCAGGACAGGTTTCCAACGATCACTTAGAAGAACAATCTGGGGATCCGTAGAAAGAAATGGAGATAAACACTTAAGAGTGACCAAGACCAAGAAGGCAGCGGGAGGAGAAATCAAGGCCTTACCGCTGGCCAGAGGAGAGACAATCACAGAACACCACAGTGTTTCCTGGAGATCAATCGTTGTTTTGGTTTATTATCATTGGGGGAATAAAGCCATTTTTCCGAGACAGAAAGCTAAAGCACTAGCAGTTCTAGAAAGAGATCTGCAGTCCTTTTCCCACGGAGAATGGCATTCAAGAAACAGAAAAGTCCCTAACTGTGTTGTCCGACGCCCCCACCCCTTCTCAGCCAGAGAGAAGCCATGCACTTAAGTCCCATCCCGTCCCAGACCAGAGCGCACTGTGTTCACACTGAGCATCAGTGTGCTCACTTACACGTCGCCCCGTGGGGCGGGGGACATTTGTCCCGTGGTCCTCAATGCTCTGTGCAAATCCTGGAGTGGCAGCATTTTCTCCAGGGGCAGAGGGAGGATGTCTTTGGATGGAGTCCTGACCCCACCAATTTAGTCATGGTGAGAGCAAACAGAGCCATCGACCATCTGGCCCTTGGGGAATTTTTTATACAGCAAAGAAAGGGCAGGCAGCCCCTCTGTGGACCACGCCTGTTGGGCTCCCTCCTCCAGAAACCTCCCCGAGCAGATGCCGTCAGCACAAGGGTGAAAGTGAAGCTCTGCTCCTCTACAAACCACTGTCTCTATGCAGAGCCAGGCACAGGCCAGAGAATGCCACTTGCGTCCCCAGAGAGCCCCTTTATCCTCCTGGCCGGGGTGTCATTGGCCCTGTCCTTGCTCCTACGATAGAATCCTCTCCCCCAGACTCCTCCTCACAGCTCAGCAGAGTGCAGCCTCACCTGCACCGGCCACCTCTGGACAATGACCCCCAAGTCTGTCCATTGGGATCACCCCGCTTCCTCTGATGGACCCTCCAACCGTCTCCTGTGTTGACTAGAAACAGATGCTGACATTTATGGTCCTTCACCTTACAGCAGCGACTGTGCTACACACTCTGCCAGACACCATCCCACTGGGTCCTCCAGAGCCCTATGAGGCGGGTACCAGGCTTAGGTGCACTTTGCAGACTTCGTGACAACAGACTTGCAGAGATCACTACGGCAACGTGCCCAGGGTAATGCTGCAAAGATGCGAGACTGTCAGACACTCTCTGCTCTCCGCCTTGCCAGCCGTTTCTTCCCAAACCCAGAGTCCATCCCAGGACTTTGCTGCCAGCAAGGCCATTGAAGCTCACTGCCATGTGCCCCAGGGGGGCCCGTGATTTTCTCAACACAGCCCTTCAAGGTCATGCCACTCCCCTGCTCAGAAACCTCCAGGTCCTGCTTACTACTCTTAAAAAAGCAAAGTCCAAATCCTGGCCCGGCGATACAAAGCCCCCCCACTACTTAGTTTTCACCTGCATCTCCACTGCCAACCTCAACCCCCAGATCCATCCCTGGCCACGTTTGGACTTGCTGCTTCTCAAGCCTGCCCGGCACTGTCAGCTTCTGCCTCCGCGTAGTTCCTCTGCCCGCTCCCTGGAGAAGCCCGACTCTCACCTGCGCTTCCAGGAGCCCCTCTTCTCTCTCCTGCCTCCCCCAGCTCTGTGAGGTCCTGGAGGGCTCAGAGTGCTGGCCTCCGACCTGCAGAGCCCACGTCCCGGAGCCTCAGATCCAACTCGCCGGAGTGCAAGCACCACGCCCTTGAACTGTTCCTTGCTTAGTAGAAAATTAACGTTGGGGTACAGGGCAAGATTTTCTGATTTACTTAACAATGAACTCGTGAAGGTTCATTACGCTATTTTCCCCATTTATGTACGTGCTTGAAAATGTGTGCAATAAAAATGTTAGAAAAAATTAGGAAAGTAATATTAGGAAACATATATTACCTGGTTTCCCAGGCACGTGCCAGGAAGGAACGTGTGTACGAGTGTGGATATCGCCCCTAGACTAGGAAAACCCCTAAGAAGCCACAACTAAATGCACAGGCAGCCCAGGCCCCTCAAAGGACAGGTGGACATGGCTGGGTTCCCACTCCGTTGACAGGTGACCTCTGTACCTTAGACTCAGATACCCACCTACTCTCCAAGAGCTCCCTTCAGTGCCTAATGGGCATCTCGAACTTTCTGGGCCAAAAGCCAACTCTGGGGGTGCCCCAAACCTCCACTTCCCACCTTCCTATCTCAGCCAGGGCAGCTCCATTCAACCAGCCCCAAAGCCTGATATCTTCCCCTATCTTTTCCCCCTCTCTCTCACACATGCGTGCGTGCACATGCACACACCCCCTGCACATGTACACGCATGCACACACCCCCTGCACATGCACACGCAGGCAGTTCTACTTCCACTTCAGAACATAACCCTGTCCGACCTCTTCTCAGCACCCCCACACCACCACCATCTCTCGGCTGAATTACAGTAATCGGCGCCATTCCAGCAGGTCTGCCTGCATCCACCCCTCAATTAGCAGCCAGAACATTTTGAAAAGTCAGTCAGACACCCTTGGGACTCTGTTCAAAACCCTCCAAAGGCTGCTGAGCTCTTAGGGGGCTTCCACTGTGCTACAGTGTCTGCACCTGCGTCTCTGATCCCATCTCCTGCTGTCCTCCCTCCCTCCACCTGACTGCTCTGGGCTCCATGCGGTTCCCCAGACACCACGCCCCTGCCAGCACAAGGGGCCTTTGCGCACGCTGTCCCCTGACCTGGAAGGCCCGGCCTAGATATCCACCACACTCGGTCCCTCACTGCACTCAGGTCTCTGCCCCAACGTCACTGCAGTGGGAACATCCGTCACCCCACCCTCTCTCCCTACCTTATCACCCCTGGACACACCGCGCACTTGCTTGTCTCTGGCTCGACTGCTCCACGGGAACGCAAGCTTTCTGAGGGCATGGGGCTTAGTTTCTGTTCCCACTGCTGAGATGGACCTGCGCAGGGTCGGCTCTCAAATACGAATGAATGAATTCTATTTCAATAAAGATGACGGTTTCAGAGGAATTTTGGTAGTATCTCTGGGATAATCTCTAAGAAGCCAAATGGCTGAAGTGGTTTGATGCAGGCTGAATTCAGGAATTCTGCTCTGTTCCTGAAATCTAAGTTGTACATTCCCACAACACTGGCAGGCTTCCTGGGTGGGCACCTTGGACACATGTGCACAGCCTGGCCCTGCAGGCTTGGCCCCCTCCTCTCAGCAGGCCCTAGTGGCCACGTCTCCAGGGCAGCCTGCAGCAGCCCTGCCCTGTCCCCTCCAGACCACACCTGGGTGCAGCGGGGAAGCAGCCCTCTACTCCCCCGGTGGGAGTCAGTCTAGAAGACAGAGGGGTGCTGAAGCTTACCTGTCTCCCACTCATGGCTGAAGAGCTTTTCCCTTTCTTGTGTGAAGGCTGATTCATTTAGAGAGAGAAGTTGCTGCTTCTGGCTCCTCCCCAGGACCCGGGAGGTCAGTCTCTGAGCGCACGGCACCGCTGCACCCAGAGAGAATCACTGACAGATTCGCGTGCAAGCTCAGGGAACCCGCACACACCCCCTTGGCCACAGCTGCCGCCTCACCACTCTCAGATTCCAGAATCTCAGAGCGTTCTTGTAGTGGCCCTGCTGCCAACGATCCGCCTTGAGAAACAATTAAACAACAAACCAGCCCAGAAAAAACGACCTAAGGTGAGCACGTCTGGATGCTTCTCTGGCGGCCGGTGGCTGTGGCCCGTGACCTTGTGGAAGGAAAGCCAGGGCCTGGGGGAGGAACGGGCTTAAATACTGGTCTTGGTTCCTCCCTTGCAATCCATGCGTGCCTTGGGATGACTCATTCTCCACATTTCATTATAATTGCTGGAGTATCATGTTGATTTCATCAAATTTCTCTAGGTTCAGGGGAAAAAGGTGTGAGTTTCGATCTGCTCCTGTGATTCCAGCCACCAGCCTCTGTTGCCAGAAACTTGTCAGCTCTGCCCCCCTCACTGTCGAGCCCCAGCGTGTTCCAGAGGACCCCAAGACCCAAAGATATCCCCGCCTCAGCTGACTGTTTCTCCTGTAAGCAACTCCCTGGGCTTTGGACACAATTGTACCGGCAATGCCTTTGGGGACAAGGGACAGCAGACACACGTGGCTTTCAAGGAGTCACTCTGATGACCACGGGGTTAACATCCCAGATCCCTCTCTCACTCCGAAAGCAAAGCCATGGAAACTGGCCTCCAGGTCTTGACCCGGCCGGTCTGGGCAACAACCCAGGTGGAGAGCCGACACGTGACTGGTGTCCCTGCGGGGCACTTCCAGGAGTGGCTTGGCAGGGAACCCACACAGGCCCCTATTCCTGGACGGGACCAACCTGCACAATGAAATTCAAACCTTCCCCGCCACACTGGCAGGACACTTCCTCCCCGGCACAGAAATCCGACGGCCACGACCTTCCTTTATCCTCCTTGGCACATGAGAGGAACGTGCTGTCCCGTGGCCTCCAAGGCGGGCTGCCTCCTTTGCGAGGAGGAGAGAGTGTGGCCATTGCAGGGCACTGTGGGCACGTCGGGGATTGGAGACTCTTACCACTGCCCATGTGGGGTGCACTTCCCTAAGCAACTGAGCTCAGTTCAGGAGGTGGCAGCATCTGGAAGCAGCTGTGCCCTCTGGGTGAAGGAACGAGGTACGAGGCGGAACCATGCAACCCAGTGCCGAGTCTGAGAAAGGTGGGCCTCTCGGGGGCGTCCCATCTACCTAGGACCACTGCACAGCCATCACCTTAGTGAATATCTACTGAGCACCAACCTCTAGGAACAAGGATCTGGCTCAACGCCGGGGACAGGAAGAAATGTAAGAGCTGGTTTTGAGGAACCTGTACCTGAAACACACACAAAGAACGAAAGACGTGAAGAGGAAGAAGAGCGAAGGTTCTACGTAGCAGGCACCGGGCTAGTGACCTGCACACGTTCAAGGCTTACCTGTCTCCGACTGAGACAACCCAGCAGAGACTCACGGAAAGCAAGTGCCTGGCAGCGGTAGGCACTCCTTGTTCCCTGTCTGTTTACTGTGGGAGCGAGCCGGCTTGGAAGGGGTCGGAGCAATGACCTGGGATGTTTTCACCGGCCAGTGACAAAGTGAGAAAACCTGCATCTCCCAGGCAGGTCAGGGAGAGGATGGAAGGGAGGGCGGATCCCTGTCCCCCAGACCTTCTTCCCACCTGGCTTCCTCCCTCCCCTGGACGTGACCCGGCTGTGGGGTTGTTCCTCCCAGTGTGCTGCACTGATCCTACCACTTCCCCAAGTTCAAAGCAACAATCCCAGACTCTTCCGAGGCTCCCACAGCTTGCAGGAGACAACCCAAACTGCGTGGCTCGTGTTTCCAGCCTGCCATACCTTCCTCCGTACGCCCTGCGCGCTCACCAATCACACCTGTTGTTTCTTTCAAACATCTCCTGACCTTGTGCCTGTCCTTCTCCCGGCCTCCCCTTCTTGAAGATCCAACAGGGCTCCCAGTTTCTGCTCCATTAAGCCTTCGTGTTTGAGAATGATCCACTGAAACAGCACCTTTGCAAGTGGAGTCCATCTCTTTCCTGAGCTCTCTTGGGACACGCCACCGTCTTCTCTGGGCATTTACTGCTTTTACCCCGAGCATCACCGCTGTTACTCTGCTGTTGTTTTTTTCTTACTTCCCCAACTGTACTTGTTTCCTTGAAAACTGGGTGCGGGGCTGCTCTGTCTTCATAATTTCCCAGCACCGAGCCCAGTGCACGGCCCACGCTGGTGCCTGGTGCCATCTGTTCAACGGATGAATGTTTCCTCCAAACATTTACTCAGCATCACATGCACTAGGGACAACCAAACCCACAAGGACCCGGTCTCTTCCCTCCACTGCTTATAATTTAAGACAAAACACATGAAACCGACACCGCAGGAGAGAGAGGGTGGGGGTCCCACCCTGTCTTCTGGGCGCACATGAGACTGAAGCCCACAGACATCTCCGCTCGCTGTCCAATGTGTGCCAAGGTCGGGCACCCACAGCGCCCCTCTGTGTACCACCTGCTGCTGAAACCACAGCGAGCTCAGAGACTACCCAGCGTGTAGCCGGTCGAGCGCTCGCCAAGCACAGGGCTTGGCAGGAGGCTCATCAGGATGGTTTGCGGTCTGAATCACATGGGAAAGCCCACCCACCCGTGCGGCACGGCTGACAGCAGACAGCCTGTGAAGTGGGACCTTGTGATCAGCCCAGACTAGAAACACTTCCAAGCTCTGGGCCCCAGCCAGGGACCAGGAAGAAACAGCGCCATTATCTCTGAAGATGAGAGGTCCAGCCATGTGATGGGCTGGCCAGGGGGCTGGAGTCTACTCCCAGCTCCCACCTGACACATCAATCAAGACCGCAGAGCGTCAGCAGTAGAAGGATTTGTGCTTTCCAAACAAACACTAGTCACTGATTTACCACCTTCCTTTTAAAAGAAATCAAATATTTAATAATTCTCTTTAAATCAACTCACTTTTTATAACTTGTTTACTTTAAAGGAAGCTTTCTATCACTACTTTAGATAGACTATCTTGATAAATCTTTTGTAGTAACATTAACTTAAAAGAATTTTTTTAAGTGCTTCGTAGATACCACCCTGGGAGACGCAGAGCTGGCCGGCCCCACTCATTCCACTGATGAGGAAACAGGTTTGTTTCTTATTAAAAGGGATTTTTCCCTGAGGTTCAGATTAAAATGCTGGACTCGGACCAGCCTGAGAGGGGGAGCAGCTTCTAGGGTTAATGCTGTCCCCAATTCTCCAGACAGTTCTCGGTAGTGACACACATGCCACGTTTGAGGCTCATGCTCGAGACAGGAATTTAACGCCGTGACAACAAGACAGGAGCCCCTGAAACCAAAGCAGACATGCAGGTGTGCGACAGCCCTTCCCAAACCCCGCAGGCAGAGAGTGGGCCAAGCCCGCCTCCCACCCCAAGGCACAGCTGAGAAAGAGTCGGCAGACGCCCGGGAGCCCTGACGTACTAAATTAACCCCATGCAAACTGTCGGTGGCCTCAGGGATTGCTCAGGAGAGAGGACTCTGCAAGGACAGATTCCCTTAGTTACCGTTTTAGTTTAGCCAGACCTTCGGCCACAATGGAAGGGAATGATCGCAATTTACCCACCAGTTTACCCAGGGTCTGGCATCCAGCCCAGTAAGCAATCAATAAATTCGTGGGATGAATGAGTGAATTTCTGAAGAGCTACCATGTCCACGAATCACTGATCAAGATACCTAGAGCAATAAACCAATCACAAATCCATACTTCATCAACATTTATTAAGGGGACAGAATTCTTGTCCCTCCTTCCATCCCACTGTCCCTCAAATATATCTGTCTTTAGGAACTTGAAGATGCAGATAAAGTGTTTACAACGACAGAGAAATGGAAGCAACATAATTATGCAACACACAAGCTTGAGGGCACCGTATTTCCACAAAGGGTGACGTAGCCATAAAAATCTATTTTCTTAGACTATTCAATAGAATGTGGAGTCCATACAATGTGATATTAAAAAAATTAAATCCATAAATTTTATAATAAAATCTTCTTCCACTTTGTTTTAAAAAAACATACATTTGAGCCGGGCAAGGTGGCACATGCCTGTAGTCCCAGCTACTCAGAGGGCAGAGGTGGGAAGATCACTTGAGCACAGGAGTTTGAGACCAGCCTGGGCAACACATGGAGATTTCATTTCTAAAAATAAGTATGTACATATATGTAAACATAAATAAATAAAAAAAAGGAAAACTTGATAGAAAAAGAAATTTCACACTAAATGCTTGCATTATCTCTAGGTGGCAAGTGTACAAAAATGTTTTTTCTTTGAAATTTTCTTAGTTTTCCTAAGTTTTCTATTTCTTTATAACAAAAAGAAATACATTTTATAAAACAAACTCCCATTCTTAGTCCCAAACATCAAGCCTTGATTCCAGCAGGTTCTCTGCAACTTTGCCAGGCCCTCTTCTGAGCGTAAGAAAAGGAACGCCATCTGATTCTGGATGCTTTCTGACACCTGACTGAGCACCTGTGTGACGGTGCAGCAACCCCAGCGGACCTAAATCCAGGCTTCCCGGCCCCAGCTCTGTGATTTGGGGCAAGCCATTGTACCATTACATGAAAGCGAAAGGTACGACTGTTTCTCCTGGCCTTGTTACCCACTAAGTAGGAGACAGGGGCTACCAGGCAAAGAGGTGAGGCAGGAAGGCCAGGCCCAGCCAGACCCACTGGGTCTTCCCTGCGGCTTTGCAAAGCGAGTACCTCCCGGACCCTGCTCCTCCCAGCAGGCTTCCACATTTTTGCTACCATAAATGGCACCGTAGTGGCCATCTTTATACCTAACCTCCCTCCGCATCTTGGATTATTTTCTTAGGACAACTTTCTAGTAGAGCATGAAGTATGCCAATCGCTTTCCTGGAAGGTCGTGGCAATTTACACTCTCGACAGCAGCAGGTGTCCCCTTCC